GGTTCCACTGGTCCTCAAAGTATTACTGTGTCCTGGAGGAGTCAGCAAAGGTGCCAAAGGTCCTCAACGTACTGCTGTGTCCTGGAGGAGTCAGCAGAGGTTCCAATGGTCCTCAACGTACTGCTGTGTCCTGGAAAAGTCGGCAGATGTTCCAATGGTCCTCAAAGTATTACTGTGTCCTGGAGGAGTCAGCAGAGGTGCCAAAGGTCCTCAACGTACTGCTGTGTCCTGGAGGAGTCAGCAGAGGTTCCAATGGTCCTCAACGTACTGCTGTGTCCTGGAGGAGTCAGCAGAGGTTCCAAAGGTCCTCAACGTACTGCTGTGTCCTGGAGGAGTCAGCAGAGGTTCCACTGGTCCTCAAAGTATTACTGTGTCCTGGAGGAGTCAGCAGAGGTGCCAAAGGTCCTCAACGTACTGCTGTGTCCTGGAGGAGTCAGCAGAGGTTCCAATGGTCCTCAACGTACTGCTGTGTCCTGGAGGAGTCAGCAGGGTTCCAAGGTCCAAAGGTTCAACGTACTGCTGTGTCCTGGAGGAGCTCAGCAGAGGTTCCAAAGGTCCTCAAAGTCCTGGAAAAGTCGGCAGATGTTCCAATGGTCCTCAAAGTATTACTGTGTCCTGGAGGAGTCAGCAGAGGTTCCAAAGGTCCTCAAGGTACTGCTGTGTCCTGGAAAAGTCGGCAGATGTTCCACTGGTCCTCAAAGTATTACTGTGTCCTGGAGGAGTCAGCAGAGGTGCCAAAGGTCCTCAAGGTACTGCTGTGTCCTGGAAAAGTCGGCAGATGTTCCAATGGTCCTCAAAGTATTACTGTGTCCTGGAGGAGTCAGCAGAGGTGCCAAAGGTCCTCAACGTACTGCTGTGTCCTGGAGGAGTCAGCAGATGTTCCAAAGGTCCTCAACGTACTGCTGTGTCCTGGAGGAGTTAGCAGAGGTGCCAAAGGTCCTCAACGTACTGCTGTGTCCTGGAGGAGTCAGCAGATGTTCCAAATGTCCTCAAGGTATTGCTGTGTCCTGGAGGAGTCGGCAGAGGTTCCAAATGTTTGCCCTCATAATTTTCTGGACTAGTGTCTTCTTCAAACTTGAGCTGTGACGACCCCCTGTGGGGCGGGCATCCAGTAGTTCCAGGTATGCTGGGCGGATATATTAGCGATAGGAGTTGGGTGTAAACGGGGCTGTCTAGTATGGGCCAATAGGCCCGCTGCAATTTCCTCCATTCTTATGTTCTTATGTTAAACATCAATTAAGTCACCCCTTGCCCGTCTGTAGTATAAGCTAGGCAGTTGCAGGCGCTCTAATCTCTCTGGATTACTTAGGTGCCGTAGCGCAGGCACCATTCTGGTAGCTCTCCTTTGGACATTTTCAATCAACATACACACCCAGGACCTTTTCACATGCGGTTTCCATTAATGCTGTTTCTTCGTCCCGTTGGGGCATGTCATACGACCCTTACAGTTGGTACGATCCAGGTGCGTCCTTTTGCACTTCGTGACATTCAATCTTCCGATACTGGTTTGCAGTGTGTGTGTGTGTGTGTAAATTGAGGTCATGTATATCGTTTTAAAGAATTTACATCTTGAGGCAGATGTGCATCACTTCTTTCTAATGGAAATAGTGTGGCAAATGATGCTAATATGAGAATGAATTTGTTATCCGTATTACGAAAAATATTAAGCCACACTTCTCTTGGTGGTTCTCCTAATATCGGCTTTAAGCTTCTGGGATCTCTTAATTTATTTCCAGTAATGAGTGACCCAGGAAACACCCAGCGCTGACTATAACCCCAACAATATATTCACCACCACGTATAAACAGTAATAATAATGGTTGTATTAGTTTTTTTTTTCTATTACCTTTTTGCTGTAATTAATATTTTTGTAGTAATTTTTAGTTAGGGGACTGACTAATTTATTTTATTTTTACAGATACGATACAATTTATTTTTATTTTTACGGCTGTAAAAGTATACGTATGTTTATCATAAAAAATTCGTTTTCTTTGAATTATATTAACAAAGAGAATTTCGTTAATCAAGGACTAACTAAATTAAAAGTACTGTATGTGTTTACTATTTTTACCATAATTACATCATAGTAGGCCTAGTAGTAGTAGTAGTAGTAGTAGTAGTAGTAGTAGTAGTCATGAAAAAAGTTTGTTTGCGAGTACTTTTTAACATATAGGCATCATAAAATGAGTTAAAATTGAGATGAAAATGTAGACGACTAGAATTTTGACATTGAGCAGAGGAGACACCACATGGATTGCTAAAAAAATGGACTAGTCACATAACTCGGACGTGGCTACAGAATGATATTACAAAACCACAACAATATATATATGAGGGGTATGGAAGCCATGTCATTTGTTTCTTTAAGTCAATTCGAAGTCGATTTTAATTTATTTATAATTTGAATGCATATTAGTCACACCAACTCCGAATTAGTACCTCCATGGAAATTGGTTAAATTAAGTTGAATCGAATTACATTATTTTTTTTATATACGTTTACCGTCTGTTTATATACTGAACCAGTGTTAATAATGGCGACAATAAGAATGTTGGTCTGTATCTCAACACTTCAAAATCCATCAGGTCTTAAAGTTTCATCATGAACATCCCCGTAGCTTAGTCGAGTGAGAGGTCTTATCTATCACCCTCACAAGTTAGTTTACGCGTAAGATTTAAGCGTCGATGGATCTTCAAACTCAGAAACTCCATTGGAATTAAGTTAAGTTACAAAGTAAATCCTTTAAAAATGACTTCTTCACATAATGTCTCGGTGAATTATATGGAACTAACACATATTTTATAGGGGGGATAACCTTGCGAATTTTTGTATTAAGTGGAATTATTTTCCTTGTGTAACTTGCTGGCGCTGGGTTATTGGCAATAGTTAGTGGTTTATGAGCTGCGGCCCCTATTGCCGGAGCTGTAGTTTATCCTTTATTGAATGACCTCGTTTTCTCTTACCACTCTCGGGATTACTTAAGGATATATATTTATTTATATTGGTATAGATTATAGATGATAGCTTATAGATATTTAAGGCAACTGAAATCTTAGCGACTTCACATATCTTTTTGGCATTCACATAGTATTAGTAGTACCCGGTAGTAGTTGTATAACACCCGGTAACAGTAGACCGGTAGACAAGCAACAGTCACTAGCTTGGCGTGTTATTCCCGGTGAACTTGAAGCAAACAGGCACTGGAGGATCGATGAAGTGTGTGTGGCCGCGGTGCCGTGTTCTTTGATTAACCTTGTTGCCTTTATAGCTTCCTCCTTCCTACCTTTTATGTTTATTTTGTAATTATCTTTCGGTTGTGTTACTGAAGTGTTTTAACATTGGTTTTTCTCCCGTATTGTAACGTAAACTTAAAGGTATTTGATAGGGAGGAGTTTGCATTGGGATATTTATTTCTGGTTGAACATTATACTTTGGATAATTCGCTGTATTTTCCCTCATAACACCCGAATATTTCTCACTTATGGATGTACTTTAATCACAGCTCGGGTCCGGCCTCTAGTGTTACCACCTGGTCCATACTGACTATTATATTTAGATAGATAGATAAAGTCGTCATCCTGTTTCACTTAGATTCATCATGTTTATAGACAGTTCAGCCAGGTGTACAAGCAAGGATAACAGAATAAAGTGTAGTTATATAATGTGACGTGTCTCTGGTTTGGTAGCTTTAGATATTTATGATTTGAAATTAATGGGGTTTTGTTATGAATATATGTACAGTATATAACACGCAGTAGAAGTTAGTTTAGCCCAATGTGCGTGTTGAAGTGTTTTAGGATAAATGGTGGATACTCAAATTGGAGGAGGGGAGCATCTGCTTATTTCACCTGTTATGTTAGGTTTAGGTTAGGTTAGGTTAGGTTAGGGTGGATTAATCTTAAGGTAGAACTAAACTGGAGGGATTAATCGTAAGGTAAAATAAATTCGTAGGATTACTCTTCCTCTGATCCAACCATCCTCCTCGTTCTTAAATGGGATTTCAAATCCTTTTAAATACAACACACGATAGAAATTGATTTAGGCGCCCTGGTTATTCTAAACATTTGCGATTTTGTAGCACAAGTAGGTCAGGTCACGCCGCCGGGTCATCGATTCTAACAGTAAACAAAGGAGTCCGTGGCGCGTTGTCATGGGGATAGGTCCAACCTCTCCCTGTAGCAATGTACTGTACGACCACCAGGTAGGAAGGTTAAGGTAACGTGGGTAGTAAACTTTATGGTATGTACTCCTACTTTAAATGTACTATCTCCCTTAAATGTACTACCTCCCTTAGATTTATTACTTTTATCAAATGTAATCCTTTAATGTAACACCAACCTTAAATGTACTACGAGCAAAGGCGGAAGTTACATGTTATAGGAGGAAGTCAGTGAGAGCTAACAGAGGTGTCATGCAGTGTGTATCGTGTGTCCGTCCTTGTGCACCAGAGCCACCTTGATAACCAACCCAGCGTTAGTTATGTGTCTTCTCTGGAAGTCTTGGTTTATGTCAGAGCCTAATTACTCAATGAAACGTTTTTATAACAGGTAAAGTTCGTATTCTTTACCTACAATTCAAAGCCAAGTTGCAACACTCGGGGTTTCGTCAGTTCGTCACTCTGTACATAGTTCTCGACCCGGGGTTATAAGTGTACTTTGTTACGTACTTTTTGTTATTGTTGTTTGGGGGAAATCCGAGCTGCGGTGCGTGGCGTTAATGTGGGTTGTGGGAGGGAGGGGGGTGGCTGTGGTTGTAGGTATTGTGTGGTATGCGCTTCGTGGACGGTGTGACGCAGATGTTGGTTTAATTGGGGGAGATTAAGGGGACGTAAGAATTTAATGACTGATAATTTATAATGATCTCTCTCTCTCTCTTTTAGCTGATTTATGTGCATTTGATTTATTCATATTATTATTTTATTATATTCAAAACATATAACTTTAATCATAATATTTAATTTCCTACTTCACGTTGTTTAAGGTGTGTCGTCTCTCCCACAGACTTCGCGGCGTGACCGGCCACTCTCTGCATCCCCTGACACAAGGTAAGTTGCTTCAGTTCTTTAAGATGTAAAGTTAAAAATCCCTTATATAACCGAGCTTAACCTGACCTGAACCAACTTGACTTCGCCTCACATCATAGGCGACTAAACCTGACCTGATCTAATCTAGCATTTCCCTAATTGGTCTATCTTAACCTATCACTACGTCACCTGACCTAGCCTTACGTTAGCGGATTCAACCTATCTTGTCCTTCTGTAATTTGACCTGAGCAAATTTAACTAACTTGACCTGACATGACGTAACCTATCCTTATCTAACCCAGTCGTGTACCTAGATAATTCAAAAGTCACTCCTCAGTTGGGTCTTGTTTTGACAGCATCAGCGAGTCATCAGGGTTTTCCCTCCCACAAGATGTTGTGTTGAGTATTATTCCTCCTGTAGAGTCGATAAACCTTCTTGTTCTCCGCCCTCTTCCTAGACACAATGAACTTTCTTCAGGGTTGTGTGGCGGGGAGAGGGAACAGCTTATGGCGGCCACCGGATATACTTAGGCTTCTACTGCACATTTGAATATTTACATGGATATGGGAGTAAACCTGAAGAATCTCCATCCCACTATATTTCACCTAAAGATTAACCTAACCTAACCTCATCTCCCCAAACAGTTTTAGGGTGGTTAATGACGATGGTATTTATTTTATAGTAATGAATGGTCTGCAAGAATTACACGATCACCTTGTTATTCATATATATATATTAATGTAGAAGGGTTAGCTCATTACGTGGTCTCCTAATTGCTGTTATTCCTATAGGATAGGCTCAGCCGAGTATCTTTGTTTTCCTTCGGCTGTTCCACTGTATTGTGTTGATGTCGTACTGTAGATGAGTCTGGTAACCTTCTAGAGGTTGGGTGCCTGTAATGTGCTGGTGATGTATAATCCTTCATAGTTCTCGGACACGGACCCAAGGAGGGGTGGAAGGCCAGGGAGCAAACAGGTGGGGTACCGGAAAGACCTCTGTAAATCCCTTATGTTTTGTTTTTTCTTGGAAGTATTTATTTATTTATTTATTTTTTTTAACTTTAAATGAAAGGTAAAGTAATGATTGTCTGGTTGAAAGTGACACGGCTTACAGTCATACCTTCCATATTTTATTCATTAATATTATTCTTGTGGATCACCTCAAGATTCACCTCCCCAGCTTATTTCACCTGAAGAATAACCACCCTAACGCTAGCCTTTCCCACCCCCCTCCTCCCTCAGGCGATGGTTTTCCCGAGGTAGTGTTAAGGTGGTTAATCCCCAGGGGAAGTATGCTGTGGGATGGGTAGGGGGGGGGGGGGACAATCCTCAGGTTGATCCATTATTATTAACAACAACACTAGATAGATGACTCCTCTCGACCCTGATATAAGTGGTGGATCTCACGTTGGTTCTCCTGGCAGGTTTACTTATGGGGGGAAAGGGTTAATGCTTGGGTGTATGGAACCTCCGTACAGGTGTGACACATCCCCCTCCAGGATCTTTCACTCACTGGAAAAAAAATAACTAGAATACAAACAGGAAAACTTGTGTGTATTTTTTTTTAGGCATCGACATTTTCCTCGTCTTCCACACACCTAGATAATGATGGTAGTGTTAGTGGCGGCTTCTAACAGTAAGCATAACCGAGTCTTGGGAAGTGTTTGTTCGCTCTGTAAATAAAACATGGAAAGTGAGCGTTTTGGTGGTATCCAGTTACCCACGAAGGTCATCAGATTTGGAAAAAAAGAATAAACAGCATAAGCAGGAAGAAAGAGAAGGGGGAGAAGAATATAGTGAAAGAAAGGAATTAAAGATGATGTATGACAATTTGAACTATATTTTCATAATGAGCTTGACCGGAGTGATGATTAATTGTATCTACTCTTACACTGTCTTGGGCATTGACGCACTGAAAGAGGCGCACAAGAATTGATGTGCACGTGTAGCAGTTTGTAGGTCCATGCTGTGAGCAGGGGCGAGCGTGGGTCATTAAGTATGGTGTGTGTCGTGCGGCGAGTGTATTAACTATCAATCCGCAACTGACTCTGGCCCTCCCTGGCACTCCCTCGTAGATAGTAGTGCCAGAGAGGGGATTGTGGTAGAAATTTTCACATATATGGCTAAGTTTTACGGGTGTGACCATGCCGTCGTGTATGGGAGTAGCTATTAAAGTGGTGTTATTGATACACGTGTTGGCAGGTGTTAACACTGTGAACGTGAGGTAGTTGTAGTTCCATTCTTGACGTTATTGACAAACAGATATTGACTAGTCTGTGCAGTGTGGAAATGATGCAGGCGTATCCATTCTTTATATCACTGTCCACTGATGGTGTAGCCGCAGCAGCTGTCTCGAGTCCTTCGCGTTTCTATACGTTTTACAGCCTCATCATTCTGTCTGTCTTAAGCTGTCGCCGATGAAACTACGCTCCAAGAAAAGACAAATTTAAAGACATTCATAATCATACTCCTCGAGTCCTGGCCAACGACTTGAATTCTAAGCTTGAGACATTGTTTTCCTGTTTACGTCGCAAGTCTTATACGTAGATCCCAGCCATTTCGACACACCATCAAGAATTTTGAGGACAAGTATAGCCTCAGTTATATAGCATTCTCGCTCTTTCTTAAATATACCAGTACTTTGTGTTCAATACCGTAATCTCGTTCAATCCATCTTATTACAAGTATACCTGGATAGAGACGCTCATTGATGCCTTTCAAACACTTTACGTTCGATCGTTCATCTCCATACCATCGCATTTCTATCCAGTCAAAGTTCCTCCCAGAATATACACTCCTTCCCTGTCACATTAAACTCTTACAGGGTGGAAGGTCAGCCTCCTCCAGGATTTTGAGTAGTCTGTGGGGGGCTGTCACTGTAGTATGGCAACTCAACTACAATCACAGCTGCCACACGATTCTCACCTCAAATTTTCTTCATTATTTAAGCAAATATATGAAAATTTGGAAACTTCTCATGATCTAAAATAATGATGAATAGTTTATTATTATAAAAATGCCACCTTTGGTTTGCTTAATATTTATCCTGACAGTGATACAGCCGAAAATGTATCCACCAATCACAATCACCTTTACACACAGCCTTCCTTTACCAAGTATTGCCAGGTAAAATTGCGAGCACGAGACCCAGGATGGGGTCAGTGTATCTTTGGTTGACTGTACATGTAACCAGGTATACGAGTTCTTATCAAAGGAAATATAAATTAAAAACAGATCACAAACCTTTATGTTTCTCTCTGTAAGGTAGAGAATAGTTACGAAGTACTGAATGAGAAACTATGATTTATTTCTCTGGGCATATATTAATAATCTCTAAATTTCTTACAGTTAAGGAATTGCAGTGGCTTAATATCTTAGTGAAAGGGTTTAATGAGTCAGTTTTAAGGTGTTTTAGTGACTGCTGTAGCGAGTTGTTTCTCTGATGGATTATAGAGGTTTAATATCTCAGTATGGAGGTTTAATGAGTCAGTTTTAAGGTGTTTTAATAACTGCTGTAACGAATTAATTAAGTTACCCCATGGTCTGATTTCCTGTTTTTTTTTATTGAAACTCAACTTCAGATTATAATGAACATCGACAAATTTATCATGTCTTTACTTTCATCATCTGTTGTTTGTGTCTTATTCCTTGCCTTTCCTCCTGATCTTCATTTGTTTGTTAGTCGGTGTGAGGAGGTTTGGTTGTGTTCTATAAAGGGATTAAGTGTCGTAATATAATTATTAAATGTTATCAAGGAATTAGGTATCGTAACAAGGGATTACGAGTGTTATTAGGCAGATGAAGAAAGATTGTCTCAGAAATAACCCCAGCAGGAGGCATAGTGACCTTCAGTATATCTCGCACCCAGAGGAGATAACGAGTTAGCTTCAACAACACCAGCGCTGGTAAAACCACCACCTCCACCACCAACACCACCACCACCACCACCACCTCCAACACTACCACCACCACCACCTCCAACACTACCACCACTACCACCATCAGTATCTTGCTTTAAGGGATACGCGTCCTTTTACTGTTACAGATAAGATAAAAAAATTGTAAGTGACGATCTATGGTGCAGAAACATTAAAGTAGTGTAAATAAATGGTGTAGTTTATGATGGTTAAGGCAGTGTGTGTGTGTGTGTGTGCGCGCGTGTGTGTGCCCCACTTAATAGTTGTAAACATTTAGGTGAAGTTTAAACCCAGGCTCTCATGTCGTGGCGTTGTTTGTGGTTGTTATTGATTTCCCTGTTCATGTATGCTGTCTCCTGAGCTGTGTTGCTACGTGTGCTTCCTGAACCATGCCCCTTGGAAATTTAATTCATTGTAAGAGAAGGTTGCATAACGGGCGGTGTATTGCATGGGGGGACGGTGTGTTGCATGGGGGGCGGTGTGTATGGGGGCGGTGTGTTGTAGGGGGCGGTGTGTTGCATGGGGGCGGTGTGTAAGTTGCATGGGGGGCAGTGTATGGGGGCGGTGTGTTGCATGGGGCGGTGTGTTGCATGGGGGCGGTGTGGTTGCATGGGGGCTGTGTATCTTAGCTTCAAGACAGTTAAATATTATGCTAAGTCAAAACATAATCGTCGTCTTCCTTTTAATAATTCTAGTGCCACTTTACTGTCATTTGTCGTTTGTATTGTGAATTAGATTTTTGGGGTAAATAATAGGCTGGCGAACTGTCTGACGTTGTTGTTGGCTCGCGGTGGCGCTGGTGTTAGGGTAAAGACTCGATCTCCTGACCCCCTAAATCGTAGCTATTGGTCGTGTCTCGTGATTTTTTTGTGTGTGTGTATGTTTGAAGGTTGAAAATGTGTGTCAGTGAGGCGCTAACTGCTTGGATCCTCACTTACTTTATGGTCTGGGGTGTAAGGACGATGGGAGGTAACTAGTATAAACCTTTCATTAGTAAGTTAACAACAGGTGAGGAATTGTAAATATCTTCGTTAAAAATGATAGTGACAAATTTTACAAACTGCAAATAGAAGCAAGAGCAAATTGGCAAAGAAAATTACAAATAAAGAC